TCTGCATTTTTACTTGGTACATCATGACCACAGTTTTTTTTTTTTTTTTTTTTTAATGTATTTTATTATTCCTACATTTAGATACTGACACGAAACCATTTCTTTATCACTAGTTCTGAGTTGTTCTTTTTCTTTCATTCCACAGATTTAGTGAGGGTAGAGAAAAGGGGAAAACCTAAATCTTTGACTGAATGGTGACGGTCTGGATCTGAACCTTGTTCTTCCAACCCTTCTGCCAGCTCTGAGCCTCATTGAGCTCTTCCCTACCGAAAGCAACTCCAACTGAAAGTTTTGTCACATTTGGACCCGTTAGCTCTGCATCAGCTTGAATATATTTGAAGGAGTATACACTGTAGAAAATAAACAGCAGAGATTTTCTTGGATACTTCTGTGTGACAACATGGCAAAGAAAAACAGCCAAAAAGGTAAGGGTTAAGACAAAATATGTAATGTAATTTATTGTAAAGTACTTGGAAAGTTCTTGATTTAATCACATATCTTTATAGTTTTCTTCCAAGGAACCAGACTTTGTTATTTATTTTAAAGTGGTTTTCAGGAATAGCTCTCCAGGCTTTCTGAAGGTCTTTCAAACTTTTTTTCTGGACAATGACTGCTTTTTCACCCGTTTTCAGTTAAGTCTTTCTACCTGACAATTTTCAGAGGAATGATGTGTTTGTTTTTCAAGCCACTTAACACTGTCATATGAATCAAGCATTAAAAGGTGCTTATCTGAAAGGAGGAACCAGTGTTGTGTCCACATATACCAGAAAAGGTTTGCAAAGAACCAATTTTATATTGCATCTTTAGGAACTTTTTTTACTAGCAGCCTGTTGCAAAAGCACATCATTTGTTCCCATTGTTTAGTTCAGTCCTTGAAAAATGCCAAGGATAACACATTTAAGATGTTTTTTCACCACCGAGGTGATTTTGTGCTATTAGCTTAAACCTTGGCATATCTCAGGAGTGTTCTTTTAAAATAATTTTTTTTTTTTTTGAAAATGAGGAAACTTGAGAAGCAGATGTCAAAAGAACTGTGAGGCATTAAAAAAATCTATCTACAGCAGATGAACAGTATCAATGACAGAAATGGTCTCAGTAAAAGGGTGGCTGTTAAGAAGCCATTCTTAAGGAAGGAAAATGGCAGAGAAACAGCTGATGTATAGCAAATTACACGTCTTATAGACTGATGAATTCAAATTTGAAAGTTTTGGTTCAAATAATCATCATTAGCCATCTGTAAAACACAATTGAGGTTCTGTAACGTTTTGGGGCTACATTTCAGCCAGTGGTGTTGGGGACCTTTTCAAAATTGGACTTACGAATGCAGAAAAGTACAATCAGTTTTTGAAACGTCATACGATGCCGTCTGGAAAGCATCTGATTGGTAGTAGCTTCATTCTTCAGCAACACAATGATCAAAGATGTTGTTAATACTGTAAAAAGGATACCTGGATACAAAAACAACCCCAGACCTCAACATTATTGAAGCAGTGTGGAATCTATTTGATAGAGAATTGATCACAACATCCAGACAAGAGCTTTGTCTTTCATGAAGCCTGGAGAACTATTCCTGAAGATGACTTAAAAAAAACAAGAAACCTTCTCTAAAAGAGTTCAGACTGTGTTACACAATAAAGGTGGTCATGCTAGTGCTGACTTTCTCTCAATACGATATAGCCTTTATACTGCATTTCCATGTACCCGTTTCAACGAATTGCTATGTCCATTTCCCTAGCAAAAGGGACACGAAGGATGGTGCAATACTTTTGCACAATACTGTATCTCTATATGGTGCACAAGAATTGAGTTACAGATGGGTCACAGCAATAAATTATTCAACAAATAAATGTATGCATGATTGTTTTCAGCTAGAATCTAATGGAGTTGTCCTGAAAGTACGTGCAGATGGCTGTACTTTTACAGCGAATTGGAGCTGTGGATATTTACAGTGACATTAACCTACTTCCATGCATGAGAAAAACAACTTTTACAAGGGCTCAGCAGTTTCCTCCCTCTTGTGTCTTTCAATGGCTAGAGATTAACTGTGGACTTCACTCTGACTCTTCGCATTCAGCTGAAGGCCTTTTGTTTATCATTTTAAAGATTAGTGTCATCTGACCTTACAGGAAGAGATCTCATTTTACCTTGACTCAGCTGCTTGTCTCAGTGAGCCAGATTTATTCTCCTGCTAGAAGAAACTCTGAAGTTTTTCCTTCTTGAAAGAATGTCTTTTTGGATGCTATCATTGGTTATTAGTCATTAAAATGAGATCCGTGCTCCAGACAGTTCAGGCACAGATGTGATGAAGTCTTCTTTTTTCTTTTTAAGCGCTTCCTTTGTGCTTGTATCTGAAGTAGTTGTGCTTACATGCTTAAATAACACATCGTTCCACCTCCACAGTCCTGTGAGGCTGACATCTTCATTTTTCACATTTGTTTATTTGCATACAGGAAGCAAAATCTATTTTCTCAATTTCATATGTAAATATTTTGTTTTTTATCATGTAGATTAACATGTCACGTCACATGTCTGTTTCACAATAATAATTCTGCTGCTGTAACCTGATTAGTATATTTATAAAGGTGGCCAGCAACTTTGTTTTTTGTTTTTTTTCAGGAAATCTCTAAAGATGTCTGCTGGTGGTTTTGTTTTGCAAATGATGCTCTACAGAGGTTTGCAAGTACAATTGAAGGGTTAAATGGAAAATGCAGTTGAGTTTCTACTATATTTTTCCAGATACATCCGGAGTGGTGTTTGATACCCGTTCAAAAATGGTCATGTCCCAGGGTGGAACGGCTGAGAGGATGAAGGAGAAGGTAAGAAATTTACACACTCCTCAGGAGTAGTGCTGCAATTTTCTTTTTCTTTTTGTTTCTTTTTTTTTTTTTTTTTTTTTTTTGGAGGCCTTAATCTGAAACGTCAAATTGCAAAATATTTGTTCTCATTTGTGGATATGGCTGTAGATGGAATTAAGATTAGAATGAAATTATAGAAGAATCACAAAATACATTCAAGAGATTACACGAGGTTTTAAATTGCTGAAATTGCGTCTTTTTTTTTTTCTTCAGAAAAAATCGGCACAATAATTGAACACAGTTATGAGCTTTATATTAATTTAAAGATAATGTACACTGCATAAAAGCTCAACTGAAACAAAATGCAAATACCTGAGTAAACAGATATCTGTAGACCTGCATGTGAGTCAGTGCTATGAGCTTGACGTCACTGTCTTGCAGTAGATCAAAAATAGCATGTCAGCATTGATAAATAGAACTGATAACATTGGAGGCATGATTTTGATGGATTGTACTATCTCAAACTAGTTCTCGATTCCCATCTCTAACCATTGGATTCTTATCTGCTGCCAAAGTTGGACGCTTCTAAAGCTTGACATTCAGTTTCATTTACTGTGAGATGTGTACAGCAGGTTCCTGGAAAGTAGCTTTTTGGCGACAGTAAACACGAGAGGGCAAATTGTCAGAGCATGATTTATCTTGAAGTAGAGCAAAAATCAGATTCACCAGCTTAACAGATATCTTATCTTGAAAAATGAGAGCTATATAGGTATGTATCACTTAATCCCATGCCAGGAAGCATCTTTAAAGCTGTTAAACTATAATTTAACAGTTCTGGGGAGTTTTATATAAGATCCCAAAAATTATTTTACATTTTTGTTAAATTAAATGGTGAAAAGCAAAAATATTTCATTAAAGTGTCCGATATATACACTCACTGGCCACTTGGTAGTCCCTACTTTAATTCTTTGTGGTATTGGTTCAGCAAGGTGCTGGAAACATTCCTTACAGGTTTTGGTCCATATCAGCATGATGGCATCAGACAGATTCTGGTGTTTGTTTAGATTTAGATCCATGATCGCGTTATGCTGACTGTGGAGGCTTTTTGAGTGCAGTGAACTAATTGTCACGTTGAAGAAACCAGTTTCAGATGATTTCAGGAACCATTCACCTCACTTCTCCTAAGTCACCTTTCTTCCTCATTCTGATGCTCAGCTTAAACTTCAACAGGTTGTCTTGACCTTGTCTACATGCATCATATGCTTGTCTGATTATATAGTTGCATTAACAGTCGAATTTTCGAACCAGTCGAACAGTTGTATTGACTAAAGTTGCCATGGAGTGTCATTCTTTCACTGACCAAAATGAAAGCTTTGTGTATTTCTACATTAATAGTGCATTATTAAGAGTATGCATTCATGTCCTACAGCCACTTCTTACTTAAAGTGTATTTTCAGTAAATGTTTGAGGGCCCTTATGCTTGTCAGTGCTAATGTTCACTATGCTTCACAGATCAGTGCTGTCAGGGCGGTTGTCCCCAACAAAAGCAACAATGAGATTGTGCTGGTGTTACAGCATTTTGAGAACTGCGTCGATAAGGCCGTGCAGGCTTTTTTAGAAGGTATGAGGACACCAAATCCCTGAAAGTTACTGTGATGTTGTGTGACTGGATATTTCTGTAAAAGTGAATTTGTAATTTGGTATTTAATGGAGCTTACTTCACTCACTCCACAAGTAGAGTTGTGTTTACATACACAGGTCGTGGGCATGAATGTCACTGTAATTCTGTGCCTTTAATGATTTCTTTGAACTGTCCTGTAATTACAGTGTACATGTTAACATGTACACTGAACTTTTTTTTTTTTTTTGTCCTTAACCTTAAATTGTTTTCACCATCATGCCTGCCATGCTTTGCATTCTGTAGTTGCGTATCATTTGCATGCCTTTGGTTTGGCAGGTTTAATTATAGCAAAGGAGCGTTGTGTCTCTACGTCAGACTACTCTTTTGTTTCCTTAGTTAGCCGTGTCTAAACAACGCCTCGAGGCATTCATATGTTCAGATGGTATTACAAGATTTTCAATCTGCCATGTGTCAGCGTGTACCTTCGTCATCATTGTTTGGTTTACACCGCAGGCAGTGCAGCTGAGATCCTGAAGGAGTGGAATGTCACTGGAAAAAAGAAGGTGAGAACCACAAAGCCTACGTCTTAAACATCTCTTTGTTGAGTTGGCATATTTATGTCACTGTTTCTTAGTAAAAGATTTAGTTTCAAATCATTGATGACATTTTAACCTGCTCTCATTGGTTCTAAAATGCATGGATTTGTTTAGTAAATTCTTCTGCCAAAAGCTTAATTTTCATTTAAATCAAAGCTTTCTCTTTTCTGCATGCACTGAATTAGTTGATATCACTGCACTGATACTAAAAAGATGATTAAAAAAAAAAGAAGGCTAACACTGATATCCTACTGTTCAGCCCAAGAAGAAAAAGAAGCCCAAACCTCAGCCAGAAGCCCCAGCAGAACCTGCTCCACCTGAGGCCACATCGCCCGAAGAGGGCAAGGACGAGCTGAATGGCTTTCATGCCAACGGCTCAGTAATGGACGGAGAGTCTCTTGATTCGCTGAGTGAACACTTGGACTCTGCCTCCCTGGATGCAGCCGAGCTGGACTCTGAACCTGCTACATCCGAAACCACCGGTAAATGCAACTGTTTGGCTAAAATGTGATGGATGGATAGAGTAATTTATGGCCATGCAAATTGCTGCTCTTACAACCTGAACCTTATTTGACCTTTTAAAGTAAATCTGTTAATGGACAAATATTTTTGTTATATGACTTAACTGCAGGAAGGTCACCTTAAGTGAGCCAAGGACACAGTGCGAAAGTCTCATTAGATTTTTATCAATGAAACTTAGATTAGAGCAGAGCCTGTTGCTACATGCTGGTAAAGAGTTATTTATTACTTAACTTGAAGAAATTAATTTGGTGTTATCTAATCAAAATCAAAGTTCAGTGGGGAAGTGTGTACTTGTAATCTTAGTGGTTTAAAAATGTCCTCCTGAAATGTGTGACTAGACAGGTTTTTTTTTAGGGGGGGGTTGTTGTTAACTTTTAAAGTGAATCACATGGTCTGCTGACTTAGCCTGAGTGGGCAACTTGCTTTTTTATTTTATTTATGATTTAGCCACAAGCTCTTCAGGCCCATTTGACTGTTTCCATGTGCTGGTCGTTGGTACAAATGCAAATAAATCTTAAAAAGAGAATTCTTAATCAAATTATATCCAGAGGTCTTTCAGTGTGCTTTGGTGAATGCCATCCCTCATTTCCCTTCATAAGAGTTGCATGCAACCAAAGCATGCTCAAATGCTGTCAGAAACCAGTGCAGCAAGTGCTACAAGCGTACTACAAATAGAAAATACCAAGAACCTTGTCCCTAATAGATTCTACTTCTTCACATGAGGGTAGTTTTATAGTTATTTACTTTGTGTCCTGACAAGTACTTTGTTTTCTCACAGGTGCAGAAGCAGAAAGTCAAGGTAGTGCTCCAAGTCCCACCTCTCAGCCAGGAGGAAGAAATCACCAGACTCCCAGAGGCAATAAGTCACGACAAAGGCCAAACTCAAATTCACATCATCCCCCTGCCTCATTAGCATCTAACACAGATGAGCAAGGATCATCAGGAGTAAAGAAGATGGGTTAGACATGGCTCTTATTTCCAGAAGCCCATTTTATTCTATCCATATTGTTTCTTTGTGCCTCCCAACCAAGGGCAAAGGTAACATGAAAACAAATGTGTCATAGCCCCAAAACTCTTGCTTAACCTTTCCTTATTCTCTCCTTCTCAGCTTCCAACATTGATCGCTCTGTGAAGGACCTGCAGAGATGTACTGCATCACTGACTCGCTACAGGATGGTAGTCAAGGAGGAGATGGACTCCTCAGTAAAAAGGATGAAGCAGACATTTGCTGAACTACAGAGCTGGTATGGGAATTCATTTTAAATCTGCCTGTTGTCATACAGTTGATGTTGAAGTAAAATTGTTTTTTCATTTAACAATCAAAAAGTATATTGATATTATATTGACAATATTCTGTGCTGTTAATAGTATATTTATAAACACTACTTCCAAATAACATAAAATCATAAAGCTAGTCTGCTGATCTCTACAGATGTCTCAGGTAGTTTGATCTAAAATTAATGTCTGAAGTTGTAAAAACACTGCTTTTAATTTTGTGTGAACTTCTTTAAACTTTGTCTTGCTAAACAGGACCCACAGTGGGTTTTTTGTTGGGGGTTATTTTTAAAGTAAGTGAGTAGAAACAAATCAGGAAATAATTGTCACTCCTGTGACAGTGTCAACAAGCCTCTATATTCGTAAGACAACCCTGAAATAATTTAGAATCTTTGAGTCTAAATAGACCGTGACAAGAGATGCATTAAGAAGAAAATTGTTTCAGAAAAGCAAAGAAGAATGTAAAAATAGATCTTTGTTCCAATTTGATTTCTCAGATTTGTGTTGCATGTTCACTAAAGCAGTTCAGACATTATTGCATTTTTATAGGTGCTGCTCAGTTACCTTTGTCCTTCTTGGTGGTGCAACTTTGCATAATAGTAAAAGAGGTCCATGTGTTGAACCTTGGATTGCTTTCATAGAGCCTCTGGTGTGTGCAGAAAAAAAGACTGATTTAGAACACTTTATTAAAGATAATAACAAACTAAATATTTTACATATTATTTCATTGTAGTAATTTGTCTTTAATCCCTGGATTTACACTTGCAGTTGAATTTTTTTTTTTTTTCCACATTAGGCATACAGTTCATGTTAACTGGATTTACAAACCAGTTTAATTGTCCAGTTTTAGTGGTTTGTCTACTTTAGGGTGTTCTTTAAATGGCTTACAAACTTCATAGGTACTGCTGGTCTGAGCAAGAAGAAAAATCCATGCCTGTTAAGCCCCTGATAATTCAGCTGGATAAGATGACTGTCGTGATCATTCTCATGAGACTTTAGTAAAAGCTGAAGTAGCTGGCAGTAGATTATGAGCTCACTAATAACTAATTGGTTGAAGATTATCTGGGTTTAGTCCAAGCTGGCAATTACAGAGTATCGTCTACAAAACCTCAGGTTATTAGGTCTAACTCGGCAAACCAAAAGATTAACTGAAACATTTGCACGTTGATAAAGTGTATTCCTTATAAATTCTCATAGAGCGCAGCCATTGTTCATCTTTCAAAAGCTGAAACCTGATGCTGTGGTTGACTGTGAGGATATCCATTCAGCTCCACTCTTGGCTCCAGACCACTGCTGCCACTGACTTATAAAACTTTTAACAGTTATTCACTTTAACAAAGATAAAAGACAGATCGGTTTGTTATTGTTCAACACCTACAACTCTTAAGAGGCTCTTACTTCAATTCCGTGCCTAAGACTTCCACTTCTGTGAAACACTCATGAAAATTTTTTTTGTTTTATTGTCAGTAAACTAGAAGATTGTATTGAGGCAGCCGGTACAAAAGCAGGTAGTTGGTTATTGTCGAAAATGGATCCTAAGCACCGCTGTGTCGTATTTCAGCTTTTTAGAAAGAAAAGCTACATTGTGGCTTTCTTTTATTTGTAATCTGTGAACAACCATCAGCTGAGAAACAAAACTGAAGCGGTATAATTAGATTTACAAGTGTGGACAAGAATTTTAATTTCCATATTTGCTTTGTGCGTTTTATTATGAGTAATGATGATACCATCTATCATCATTACTCAGACACTCAAGGTTTGCCATGGGTGTAGTCTAATTCTCGTTAGTATCTCACAGCAACCTTTGAGGCATACAAGATGGCCATCTACGTAACGGCTGACTCTGTAATGCTACAGAGAACGGAGCGAGATGTCCTTAGTGTAAAGCTCAAACTCCAGTAAATGTGTTATCCCATCAAGACTGAAGCGTTTATGCCAGCAGTTGTGTTCTCAGGTTCGGGTTATTTGTTGTCTAGCAAGATTACTCAGTCATGAACAGATTTACATGGATATTTTCTCAGAGGTGGAGCTTTGTCCAGTTTAGAAGTGATCAACTTTTGGAGTCTGGATCCAGGAATTTTGGAAACTATTCTTCACCATGAGAGGAGTCAAAATTGTGCATTTCCTTTGGTGTCTCTATAAATGTATGCTGAATTAAAGTGATAAAAATAATCATTATTGATGTTCTTAAAATATTAAACTAATCAATATTCCAATATCCTTCTGGCTTAATTTGTGCATGGTGTGGAGGAATTTTCAGCCTTGGCAGAAGTCTGCTGTCCCCAGTGGTCTTATTGTTTAACCATATTAGTATTTTGCTGCAATATTAGTGCAAAGTCGGCATGCACAATCTTGTTTTAGAGAAGATTCTAGAAAGTTTACCCTCTTTTCTTTATTTTTCTAGTTTAATGGACAGAGAGGTGACTCTGCTGGCAGAAATGGACAAAGTGAAAGCTGATGCCAGTAAGTATTGTATTTTCCTGTATGCTTGTCACATACCACCCTGCAGCTGCTTGTGTTCTTCTCATGATATGATCACCTGACTCAAAGGCCCCAAGACTCTGACCTAAATCACTTCTGGAGGTTGTAAAAGAAATCTTATGGAACAGCAAGTCCCAGTTTCTTCTAAACTGCAGTGTTTTCTTAAGGTCCTGATACACCTAGAGCGTGCGTGCGTGTGTACGTACAATGTAGGCCTCATATTTGTACAACTAGGCCATTCTCTCTTATTCTGTCCTCTCAGTGTAGAGTGTTGTGTGTTCCAGGCCTGGAAAAAGTGAATAGTGTCAGGTGTCAAGGGAGACTCAATGCTGTCTTTGTGCAAGGCGTGTGGTGAATTGAGAGAAAAGCAAAGAAACTCTAGTCCTCATCCGATGTTACAAAAGCCAGGTTTTCTCAAAAGTTACTTTACTCTAAGAATCTCTTCCTTCAGGAGAAAGTGATACAACTGATAATATATATGTATATTTATTTTAGATTATATGTTTCAAATAGAGAAAAAAATAAGTATTTGTTAAACCTCTTTCCTGGCTGTGGGACTGTATCAGTAGTGCTAAGGACCAGTGGGTACTTCAGATGTCCTCTTTAAGATTAGTCTGAGTGGGACATGTCATGTGCTTGTTGAAAACACAGGTGTATGATTGTTGCTTTTACAGCTGTGATTGGACACTAAGGAAGGAGAGGAAAAGACTTGTATCAATTGACTAAGTAGCGAGAGCAAGCTAGAAAGGATTGGGAAAGGTTAGTGATTAAGGATAGAGATTGAAATGTGCTAACAAGTGAGCAGACTATGTTGAGAAGATGGAAGGACTTTGAAGACCTTCTGAATGAAGAAAATGACAGAGGAGGCTGGATGGAGGAAAGTTGGGTAAGGGAGTTCAGATGAGAATGAAGTGAGGACAGCCAAGAAGATGATGATGATGAGTGGAAAGAAAGCTGGATCAGGCGATATACCTGTGGAGGCATGGAGATATTTAGGAGAAAGGGGCTATGGAGTTAGTAGATGATGATGATGATGATGATGATGATGATGATATTAGTAGTATTAAGTAGGTTAACAGAATCTTGGAGAGTGAGAGCATGCCTGAGGAATGGAACTGTACTGGTACTGATTTTCAAGAACAAGGGTGATGTGCAGAACAGTAATAACTACAGAGGGATAAAACTGGTGAGCCATACCACAGAGATGTGGGAAGGAATTTTTGAAGCTAGATTAAGTAGACTAGTGACAATTAACAAGGAGCAGTATGGCTTCATCCTGAGAAAGGCCAGTGCAGATGCAATGTTTGCACTGTCTTTTTGGATCTAAAGAAAGCTGGTGAGGTGGAGGTGGAAGAGAGCCTGGAGAGGTGTGGGTATGTGTTTTCAGCCTATGCTTTGGAGAAAAGAGAAATGAAAGTTATTAGATGTAGTTAAGATACAATGAGCAGAGGTGGACAAGTTTAAGTACCTGTACTAGTCATTCAAAGCAATGAACAGGGTGGACTGGATGGAGTAGGTGGAGAAGAATGTCAGAGGTGATTTGTGACAGAAGTATAGCAGAAAGTGAAGGAGAACATTAACAAGATGGTAGTGAACACCTGCTATAATTGACAGCACTAACCAGTGGCAGCGTGTAAGATTTTCACTGATGGTGACCACCAGGTTGGGCAGATTGAGCAGTTTAGAGAGAAAATTAGAAAAGCAAGGCTAAGATAGTTTAAGCATGTTCAGAGGAGGGATAATAGATATATTGGGGGAAAGGATGTTCAATATGGAGCTGCCAAACAACAGAAAAAGAGACGGGACTGAGAAATTTTGTGTTTGGTGAAGATATGAAGAGATGACATGTCTTCAGAGGTATGTTATTTTTCTCACAGAAGAGAATGCTGGGGGTGGGATGTGCGCAGATGGTTCGTTGTGGTGACCGATAAAGGGAACTGTTGATCAAATAAGAAGCTGTATTAGTGCAGAAGCTCAGAGATTTAGACCAGCGTTTATGTAGAGTGAGTGGAGATGTGAGTGGTGACGCCTATTGTTAAAGACAGTATTGCAGGTGAATACTGCCATACCTCAGCACCAGTATGAATGGAGTCAGGGTTGTGGTGAGATCACAGTTGGCAGCCATCATAATGGGCCCTCAACTGAAATCTTTGTCATTTTCTTTGAACTGGGGACCAATTGCATATTTCTGCAGGGCGACCCATTATTCTAGTTTGAGCTTCATATTTTGTTCTTTGATTCTAGTAGAGCAGCTTTGGATGAGTCATTGTTCATTATCATCCCTTTTGTCTTATACTGGGCCCTGGTGCTGTCTCTCAGGTTATCATTACCTGAAACAACCTATTTTAGTTCCCATCCCTTCCTCTTTAAGATGCTGTTCTTTTGATTGGCTGCATTTCACAAACTGACGGAGTGATGAGTATTTAGATGAAACTGAAAGATTACGAGACCTCTTTATTTTAAACTTAAGCAAAAGAAGAGGGTCGATTTTGAATGTATTTTCAATCATTTTTACTTTTTAAAGAAAGGAAATTCTGTCTTGTCTTTGCTTCCTAACACACAGGACAGTTTGTCTTTAAGAGAAGGCACCGTTTTTAAAGTAGTGGGTGGCCTCAGACTTATTTTGTCTGCCAAATTTCCAAATTGGCTGCTGGACGTGTCTCACAGTGAGCGCTAATGCAGCCAACTTTGGACTGACTAACTGAAATTTTCCTCCTAATTTAAAGTTTAGAGTTTAACAGCTCAGAATCACTTTAGGTGCAGCTCTGTTTTTAAACTTTTGCTTAAATGTGTGGAAGACATAATACAGGCAGACATTTGACTGCATAATAAAAACCCTCCTTAAATTCTTTCACATCTGTTCATATTTTTGCTGCTACGTTTCAGTGATGATCTTGGACGCCCGGCAGAAGAGAGCCGAGGAGCTCCGGCGGCTGACAGATAAGTCGGCATCCATGTCAGAGGAGCAGCTGACTGAACTGCGTGCAGACATCAAGGTACCTGCACAGCACAGCTGCTCCACTTTGATGCTGTCTTTCAGCATCAAAGTGGTGTTTTATTTCATAACCGACTGAATGGGAAATTGGTGTTTATTTGTAATTAATCTACAACTCAAGGCAGATTCTCCTACTTATGCTTACAAAAGTAGAGATGAAAACAACAAATTTTGAGACACAACGTGGGTGGGTTTTTTCCCTGACTTTTATTTATTTATGTTTTCATTTGCAGCACTTTGTGAGCGAGCGTAAATACGATGAGGACCTTGGAAAAGCTCTAAGATTTACATTTGATCTTGAACCGCTGAAGACGAGCATTGCAGGGTTTGGATCAGGTACAGTATCAAAGTCATCTCATTTATTTCTCTTACTGACCTGTGTTCAGCTATGCCTCACGCTTGGCTGGGACACACCTTTCCTTAAATCACAAAATACAAGACCAGCAGGCTAGAAATGACTAATGCAGTAATTATTATGATATGGCAAGCATGCAGTACTGAATGAGCAGAGCGCTATTTTTATGGTTGGAAACTATAGTGGAGCAATAAGGAAGCTTTGATAATATTGTTAGCAGCTCTGTTTATTAATTAACCTCTGAAGAGGAGGATGTCAAGTTGGCTGTTATGAGGGAGAAAGAGGTTTGTTCGTGTTCTTTTTTTTCTTTCTTGGTCTCTGCATACTCAGACCGGTCTGCAGAAGCTGCTGTCCCATCATGTCAGACATTTGGTTTATTTGTATTTTGACTGTGACTGTGCTAATCAGAGCACTCTTTAAGCAGTCTTATCTGACTCTAAAATCTTAACCCAAAAATTGTGATTTCATGCTATTTAAGGTTCTGAGAATGCCTCTAATGTAGATCTGTCTAAAACAAGTTTTTAACACTTTATTTTATGCAATTAGCACACTTTTTTTCTGCTTGGTGAGAAAGGTTGCTTGGTTTACCATTTTTGACCATAGCCTATATTTAACAGAGGGACGTAGACACCATGACTTCACGTACAGGTTTTGGATTTCACCTTTTGAAGACTCAACTTGGTGTTTTTGCTACTGCTGTGTTTTGTGCTGTCAGAATTTGCCATATTTAGACCATTGGGTACAGTGTTAAGTTGTCACCTTAGAGCCCAGTCACACAGGCCTGTGCAAGACCAGATGGTGACCACCTGACAACCTCAGGCAATACGTTTCCTAGTTACCAAACTTGCTGGCAAGTGGTTACTGTTGGTGGGTGAAATTAGTCAGAAAGAGGTGCTGCACTGAAACCACCTCGTGACCACTTTGGTTGCTAGCAGTTTGTTGCAGTTTCACTGTGCAAATTGCAGTTTTTTGTAATTTGTATAACGTCTGTAAAATGCTCTACAACTACTCACCAAGTGGTAGTGAAACTTTAAGAAGTGCAACAGCTGAATGTTCTCCCCAGAGAAAAGCAAAGGTTTCTCCTTATGAAACGTCTAGTTTGGAGATAAGGCAAAACTTTTACTTTGAAGGTGAATGCTGCTGTTTCTTTAATCACATTGCACTTTTTCCAAGTTTTACTACAGCTCAGTGAAAAGTTTACAGAGTGTTTGCAGACAAGCTGGAAATCCATCATGGCAATCTACTAGCAACCGAAATCATAGTAACCAGATTTCTGGTGAAGCCTCCTCTTTGCAACTGTTTTCACCAATTGGTAACCACTCTCTAATTTGTTAAGAATCCACTTTTCTTTCCCTAGTAAGCAGTGGTCACTTGGGGTCACTGACCATTCATGCCTCTGTGACTGATGACTAAGGCTTGTAAAAGCTTTGTTAACAAGTTGTAGTCATAAACTGTACAAGTGCAATGCACTGGGACAGATCATTCATGATGTTCGATGTTCATTAGTGTTACAGAAATATAAATACTAGAATTTCACTCACCAAAATTAAGGCATAAACTTGTGGGAGGGTTTTTTTTTTGTTTGTTTGTTTGTTTTGTTTTTTTTAAAAACCTCACAGCAAGCCATATTAATAATTAGATAAGCCATTAAAGTACTCAAAAAACAAACACAGTGGAGTGGTCCAGTTCAGTGACTGTCACTGGCATAGGTGAGGCCTATTAGCTGCAATTTCCTGTTTTAAGACACACCTGTAAATGTAAGTCTCAACAGTTAGAAAAAAATGAGTCACTTTAAATATCTTTTCAAAAGGAAAACTATTAATAGATCCCAAATAGTTTCTATAACAGGGTGTAAATGTGTTTTTTGATGCTGCCATTGACTTAGTTTTAAGTAACCATTAGAGGAAATGTAGATTTTGGCACTTCTGCATTTGCTTCATCTTTGAGCCCCAGAGGTTTCCGCTGAGTGTTGACTCACTATGTCGATTTTCTCACAGTTTACCACCCACGTACAGGCTACTCAAACCGATCCCGCTGTAGCTCCACATCATCTTCTGTCGCCAGCCCCACCCTGCCGGAGACGCCTGCTCCTACCCAGATCCAGAGCAACCACCCAAGTGAAACCCGTCCTCCACCAGCCAAACAGGTCAGCTGGAAAGCTGTAGTTTGTCAGACATTAGACCAAATGCTGGTTTACTTCACTGACAAACTTTAAACTCTCCCCCTCAGATTTTCCAAGGAAACAGGCGTACCTTCCACGGACAAGGTTATCACACAGGTGGTCAGCGGTATAACGGTGGTTCCTACAATGACAGGAACGCTGGTCGTGCAAACCACCGCCATCAGAATGATGGTGCCTCCTCTGGGCCTACATCACAGCACTCTAACAACTCAAGAGGTCCCTCGCATTCCTCCACATCCTCTCACAACCAAGACCGACCCTCTCACAATGGGCTTCCCCAAAGGGTTCCACGAACACCTGGTCCTTGACATTTAAAAAAAACAAAAAATCACAAGCTCAATCAAACTCATCAACTAACCCTTGAACTCCTCCTTCTCTCCACATACCCTTCCCCAACCCTTCACCTCCTCCCCACCTACTAACTCCTTTTAATGAAGAATAGAATACAAGTTTACATATTTCTGTCAGTTGAGCTGTAGTGCCGCCTCGCCACATCAATCAATTCATCCTTCAAACTTGAAAAGCGCTCACTGTTCTGTAATCGCTCTTCCTCTTTCTTTTCTCGCTCCTGATGACGGTTAACAGTTTCTATCTTTAGGCCCCTTTTGAGAGATCTTACTGTCATGCTATTGTCAGTCTCTGATATTAGTTTTAACAGTTAAAGCAGACTGCCAGAGACTGACATGATTACCTGCAACAATTTGTGCACTATTGAAGTTGAACTCTTAGTACTTTTTCTATTTTTACTGTGGCTTTGTCAGCTCTCTGATTCGAACCTCAGATCTTGTTATTCTGCTTGTCTCCCAGAACCATTTCAATGCCTTCACCACGGAAAGCGTTGTGAAAGTGTAAAAGCAGTTCTAGCATTAGCTGGGACTTCTGAAGAGTAGACATGCAATCAACACTACAAACTGTCATTAATCATTGCAAGGTAAAGAAAAAAGAGACATATCAAACTGTAATCCAGAGCTTTTTGTACAGCTGCTACAAACCGTAGGGAACTTGTTAACGCTAGGGCTTGGCTGTATTGAGAGTAACACTGTGGACACAGATGTTACCCTTTTGAAAGGAGTAGTTTAACATTTGTCAGTGCGCTTTCCCTCACTCTTTGCTCTGAGTTGCATAAGTAGATTAACACACGTGTGCACTAAATATGAATCTGGCAGCTGATTAGATTAGCTTGGTGTGAAGGCTGCAGAAGGAGAGTAACTGCTTTGGCTGTCTTAATTTGGCAAACTGCACCTCTAAATTCACCAATTCACACAATCTTTTCTGGGGTTTTGCACAAAACTGGGATTTTTCTGGGGGGTTAAGTTTGAGGCTAGCTGTTACTCATTTCTGGCTTTAATGCTGAACTGATTGGCTGCTGCTTGTAGTTCCTTATTTAATGTAAGCACAAGTGTGTTATCTACCTTCTCATCTGACTGCATGGAGGTGATAAGTGCCTATCCCAGTGTCAAATGTCAAACTACTCCTTTTTAATATTGCCTAAGGCAGTGATGTATCGCCCTCCCACTGGCCGCCGGAGTTATCATGTGTGCTGTTTTTTGTTTTTTCTTAGCTAGCTGTCCATTGTTTTATAACAAAGAGGGCTCATTACCTTTTGTAGAATAATGTTAAATATGTAAAAACTCTCAACAAAGGATAAGTCCTTTGTGGTGCACATGCTTTTTCATAGTTCTGAACATTTATTCACAGGCCGTTTGTTCTTTGTGTTTTTCTTGCACACGAATGGCATATTAATGTCGTGCTTGCCTTTAGTCACGGACTTCACATTTGCCTTTCTAGAAACATGGATGTCTGCATCATGATGGCTTTGTAAACAGACGGTACTCATAGAGCAGATATGCGATTTATGAATATGTGCAAAAACAAAGTGTAGGATCTATTCTTCCCCTTTTCCTGCCTGACTGATATAGATATCAGCCATTCACTGATTTATGGATATTGGCATGTATGCTGTGTGATACAGAAACTCTTTTTTTTTTTTTTTTTTTTTTTTTTTTTTTTTTTTTAACAACAAAATGCAGAAAAAAGATGCTTGGGGTACTAGAATTAAAAGTTTGTCCAGCAGTGTGACTCCATTGTTTACAAAACTCTCAGCAGTGCCTGCTGCACCACTGAGAAGATGGAGGTGTGGAGTCGAGAAGTGTCTCCACATTAAGTTACGACCTAGTTTGTGAAATACATTACTGGAAACTTAATAATGATCCCAGTATTTTCAATTTCAGTAGATCCCATATTCTCTGTGCGTGTGCGTGTGTGTGTGGGGGGGGGTATTGGCTGATATGTCGATATCTAGCGTCAGTTGGCTCTTCTTTTTATGTCCACTCTGTGCATCTATGGAAGTAAAATTGAGTAAACTGATGAATGCATTAGAGGGTTGTATTGATTTCTTAGATCTTTTTTTTTTTTTTTTTCCTGCCAAGTAGCTGCTGCTGTTGGGGCTCAATCTCATCGTAGTGTCCAGTTTGTGAACAAAAGGCTGGCGAGTACCTCGTCGCTCATCCTTCGACACTACCCGTTTCGAAGTCATTCTCTCACAGTGGGCTCTTAGTTTGGGACATGGACCCCCTGGTGATTCCTCCTCTTATAATCCTGTAGTCAATGTACATATGAAAGGCTGTAGTGGAAAATCGGTTGTTACATTATTGCTGCATCTTCTTCATAACATATTGTCTTCCTTTGAGCAGATTTTTTTTTTTTTTTTTTTTTTTTTT